GGGGGGCGAGCAAGCGAGAAAGTGAAGGCAGAGGCGGCAAGGCGGCAGGGGGACGGTCGCAACTCTCCTGAATCCTGTTAGATTGTTTTCCCGCCTACAAACCTTTTTATTTTTTTATCACAGAAGTTTTAGAAATTGAATTTTCAATACCCAGTCCAATTCTTTACTGTATATATGTAAGTAGAAACTTCACCAATATCATTGACTTGGGTGGGTTTGAGTCTGCTCTTTTCCGCACACACGGCTGTGTTTTCGCCGTGAAGCCATAATCTAGGCTTCTCAGGAACAAACTGGGGAAATACACACCTAGAGCCAAGATTTGCCGTTCAGATGTTTTCCTTAACTACTTAAGCATTATAAAATATATTATACATTGTTTTACTCAACAGTATTAGTAAAACTTCTGATGATAATCTAAAAAATAAGAAATACTTCAAGTTTAATCAGCAAGAGTATCTTTTTGCGCAAGTAAAACTTCTGTCCCTGGGATTCTGAGTGAACTTACAGGCGCAGAAAGCCAGTTCCTTGAGACTTCCAGCTGTTTAATGGGACTACTGTAGAGACCGTCAGGATTCCCTTTGTCTTCCTATATTCTAAAATGAAACAGAAACATAGTGTTTGCAGAAACATAGTGTTTGAATCTTTAAAGCGAGCAAAGCAATTTTCTGATGCTTTTTAGAAACAGTGTTTACGTAAACTATTTCTAAAACTAAAATGGAGAGAAAATCAGTTTACTGCAAGATGCATGACCTTCAAATGAAAAGTAAATGATAGTTGTAAAGGGTGTTCCCCTGCTTCATGCTTACTTTATAATTAAGATAAACCTCAAACAGAAGCTTTAGAGCAACACACACACACACACACACCTGACATAAACTACTGCATTCCACTGTCATGAAAAATATAAAGCTGTCCCAAGGGCAAGTAGAATGAGCTTCTCAGCTACTCTTCTGGGCTTCAGTATGGCATCTTGACAAGTAGATAATCTTCAGTACACAAAACAACTCCACAAGTAAAAACCAGTTCAAAGACACCCTTTGCAGAAAGTCAGTTCTTTATTCTGACACAACATTATGTAAGCCCTGGATTAGAATCTAAATTTGTGAAAGACGTTCCAGTAAATTGTCTCTGCTCTCTTTTTCTGGGATGTCTTTCTTTGGGTGCTCTAATTAAATTAATTACATTTTTAACATAGCTGTCATGATTTTGAAGTGTTACTGTTTGTCTTTCTTGCAATATTAAACAACAAACCATATTTCAAAGGGTTAAGCATATTCCACCTGCAAAAAGGTAATGAGGAATGTGTGAATATTGCTTGAACAGAAAAGGTTATAGAAGATGTTGCTACTGTGCCCATGTTTAACTATTTTTAGTAAAATATTTAAATAGCTCCAACTGAAGTCATAGTAACACATTAAAGATTGTATGCTTCATGATGATTATAGCTTTGTTGGGTTATTAAAGCAATAGACTGTCTTTCATCACACTGAATTCCTTTTTTGTTCAATTTTCTTCCTGCTCAATATGTCTTTATATTCTATTTGAAATACAGATCTATATTTTTCATTTCTAAATCATTTTATAGCTTCCTAAACTTACCTAAAGTATTGCTTACTTCAAAATTGAGATGCTTTTATTATTCAAGGTATTTGATTCATGTGTATATGATTTTTGGATTTTCTAATGTATTAGAATGATACATAATAAAGAGACTAATGTTAATGTCAGGTGACCGTTTTTTTGTTTAATGTGCTAAGTAATCAAATTAACTATGCATACAATTAGTAGTTAGGAGATACACAAAACAAAAAATTCTAAAATATGACATCAAAAATACAAAATGTAGGAGGAGAGAGTAAAAATGTAGTGCTTTTAGAATGTATTCAAACTTAAAAGCCTATCAACTTAAAAGAGTGTATATATATGGGGGGGGGAGAGAGGAGAGAGTCTATATATTTATATATATGTGTGTATATATATACACATATATATATATATACACACACACACACATATATATAAAGCTCATGGTAACCACAAACCAAAAATCTATAAAATATACACAAAAGATAAAGAAAAAAGAACCCAGCATAACACTAAAGAAAACCAGCAAACCATAAGGAGAGAGACCAAGAGCATAAGAAATGAACAGAGAAGAACTACAAAAACAACCAAAAACCAATTAAAATAAAATTGCATAAGTATGTATCTATCCATAACTACTTTAAATGTAAAAGGATTAAAATCTCTAATCAAAAACATAGGGTAGCTGAATGGATAAAATACAACCCATGTATATGCTTCCTACAAGAGAATCACTTCAGATCAAAAGACACAAACTGTAAAAAGAGACAAGAAGAGCATCCATATATAAACACACCCAACATAGAAGCTCCTAAATATATAAAGCAAGTATTAAGGACATACATGGAGAAACTGAGATTATTCTAATAGGAAATTTTAATATCCCACTTACATTAATGGACAGATCATCCAGTAAAAGAGCAGTAAGGAAACATTAGTCTGAAATGGCACATCAGAGGAGAGGACCTTAATAGATGTAATAGATCATTTCACTCCAAAACTGCAGAATACACATTCTTTTCAAAGGTACATAGAACATTCTCCAGGATAGATCACATCTTAGGCCACAAAACAAGCCTCAATAAATCAAGACTGAATTCATATCAAGCGTCTTTTCTAACCACAACAGTATAAAACAAGAAATCAATTACAACAAGAAAACTGAAGAAATACAAACACATGTAGACTAATCAACATGCTAGTAAACAACCAATGGGTCAGAAAATAAATTAAAGAGAAAAATTAAAAGATATCTTGAAACAAATGAAAATAGAAACATAACTCTCCCAAATCTAGGGGATGCAGCAAAAGCATGTCCAAGAGGGAAGTTCCTATCAGTACAGGCCTTCTTAAGAAACAAGAAAAATCCCAAATAAACAATCTACCTACACCTTAAGGAACTACAAAAACAAAAACAAATTCCAAAATGAGTAAAAGGAAGGAAACAATAAAGTTCAGAGCAGAAATAAATAAAATAGAAACTAAAGAATCAGTAAAAAAAAAAAAAATGATGATACTAAGAGTTGATTCTTTGAAGAGAAAAACAAAATTAGTAAACCTTTAGTCAAACTCGTCAATAAAAAAAAGAGAGAGTACCCAAATAAATAAAATCAAAAATGAAAGAGAAGTTATAACCAGCACCACAGAAATACAAAGGATAATAAAAGAATACTGTAAATACGTATATGCCAAAATATTGGACAACCTAGAAGAAATGTATATAAATTTCTGAAAACATACAACTTTCCAAGACTGGACCAGGAAGAAATAGAAAATCTGAGCAGACCAATTACTAACAATGAAATTGAATCAGTAATCAAAAAATTTGCAACAAACAAAAGTCTAGGGCCAGACAGCTTCACAGGGAATCCTTCTAATGCCATTCCAAAAATTACACTTCCAAACTCATTCTAAAAGTCCAGCATTACTCTAACAAAACCAGACAAAAATGCAACAAAAAAGAAAAAATTACAGGCCAACATCCCTAATAAATAAAGATGTAAAAAAATCTCAGCAAAATATTAACAAACAAAATTCAATAATGCACTAAAGAATCATACACCATAATCAAATGGGATGTAGTCCAGGGATACAAGGATGGTTTAATATACATAAATCCATCAACATGCTACAGCACATTAATAAAACCAAAAATGAAAATCATGACCTCAATAGATGCAGAAAACTTATTTAACAAAATTCAATATTCATTTATGATAAAAACTCTCAATAAGGTGGGTATAGAGGGAACATACCTGAACCTAATAAAGGCTATAAATTACAAACCCACAGCAAAGATTATACTCATTGGTGGAAAGCTGAAACTTTTTCCTCTAAAAGACAAGGATGCTCCCCTCACCACTTTTATTCAATATAGTACTGGAAGTCCTACCCACAGCAATCTGCAAGAAAAGAAATAAAAAGAATCCAAACTGGAAAAGAAGATGTAAAATTGTCACTATATCCAGATGGCATTATGCTATATAGAGGTAATCCTGAAGATGCCAACAAAATCTATAAAAACTAATAAATTCAGTAAAGTTGCAGGATACAAAATTAATATACCAAAATCTTTTGCATTTCTATACACTAATAATCAGCTATCAGAAAGAGACATTAAGAAAACAATTCCATTTACAATCACTGCAAAAAGAGTAAGTTAACCAAGGAGGTGGAAGATTTGTACTCTGAAAACTATAAGACATTGATAAAAGAAATTGAGGATGACACAAATAAATGGAAGGATATACTGTGCTCATGGACTGGAAGAATTCGTATTATTAAAGTGTCCATACTACCCAAAGCAACTTATAGATTCAATGCAATTCTTATCAAAATATCAGTGGCATTTTCACAGAACTAGAACAAATAATTCTAAAATTTATATGGAACCACTAAAGAACCCAAACACCCAAAGTAATCATGAGAAAGAACAAAGTGGGAGGTATCATGCTTCCTGATTTCAAACCATGTACAAATCATGTACAAAAATAAACTAAAAATGAATTAAAGACTTAAAACATAAAAACCATAGAAGAAAACACAGGCAGTGAACTCTTTGGTATTAGTCTCACCAATATTTTTTTGGATACATTTACCCAGGCAATGAAAACAAAAGTAAAAATAAACAAATGAGACTACATCAAACCAAAAAGCTTTCCAACAGTGAAGAAAACCATGGACAAAATGAAAGGACAACTTAATGAAAAAAGATATTGCAAATCAAATGCCTAGTAAGGAACTAATATCCAAAATATATAAACAACTCATACAACTCAACATAAAAATAACAATCCAATTGAAAAATGGGTAGAGGACCTCAATAGCCATTTCTCCAAAGAAGGCATAAAGCTGAACCACAGCCATGAAAAGATGCTCAACATCACTAATCATCAGAGAAATGCAAATCAAAGCTACAATGAGATACCCCCTCACCCAGTCAGAATGGCTGTTGTGAAAAGGCAAGAAGCTGGAAAAAGGGGAATCTTCATACGCTGTTGGTGGGATTGTAAATTGATAAAACTGTTATGAAAAACAGTATGGAGATTACAAAAACTTAGAAATAGAACTAACAGATGACCCAGCAATTCCATTTCTGAGTATTTATTCAAAGAAACACTAATTGGAAAAGATATGTGGACCCCTATGTTCGTTGCAGTGTTATCTACAACAGCCAAGATATGGAAGCTACCAAGTGTCCATCAATAGAAGACTGGATAAAAAAGGCATGGTACATATATACAATGGAATATTATTCAGCTATAAAAAAGAAAGAAATCTTACCACTTGCAACATGGATGGACCTATAGCATACTGTGAAAGACAAGCACTGTGTGATTTCACTTACACATGGAGTGTAAAATAAAAACAAATGAACAAACAAAACAAAACAGAATCTGACTCATAGATACAGAGAACAAATGGATGGTTGCCAGAGGGGATGTGCGTGAGGGGATGAGTGGGAAAGGTGAAGGGAAATAAAAGGTACAGACTTCTAGTTATCAACTAA